TCCTTTGTAATTGTTGCAGAGGTATCCTGATGCTGCTAAATTCTGGCGTATTCCGTTGCAATTCGCTGAAGACTTAGACATACTATTCTCAGATGCAGCTGCTACAGGAGAATGGGCATACACTCCTAGCTCAGGGGTAATGCCTCAGACTGATGAGACGCCGGAGGAATTTCATACCCCATATGATGCTGAATTTCATGATGATGCTGATTTGGTGGTGGTTCGTCCTTCCGAGTTAAACAAAAAAGGGTCATCAAACACTGATGGTTCATCAACCAAGAGCAAGACAAAGAAGAAATTTACTGGTGCAGCTCTACTGAACAAGACACTTGATTGTATAGTCAATGTGGTTGAATCATCTTCAGCAACTTCAACACAAACCTCATTAAGATATCCTTCAATTGCAGAATGTTTGGCGTAGTTGGAAAGCATCCCTGGTGTGTCCCTAGATGATGAGCTGTATGTATGGGCTACCAGATTGTTCTTACGAGACAAGCGTCGTGAGTGCTTTATGAGTCTTCCAACAGATGAAGTTCGGTTGAGGTTTCTAAAGTTAGAGATTGAGATAGAGAAGACCACCACAAGTTATCGCGGCTAATTGTTTTTGAGATGGACTGTTGCGTTGAACTCATTATTTTTTTTCTTTTATTAATATTTTTGTTGGACTTTGATGGATATTATTGACTATGTTGGACTTTTATTATTAATATTTGACTATGTTGGACTTTGATTAATATTGAAAAATGTTGGACTTTTATTATTAATATATGGGTAGATGGCATTTTCATAGTTGAATGGTAGGTGAATGGTTGACTGGTTGAATGTTAGTTCAATGGTTGAAATGTTAGTTGAATAGTTGAATGGTTGGTTTCAAATTTGAATATGAATGATAGGTGAATGGTAAAGATCTTTATATATATGTAGATGTTTTCCAGGTGGTGTTATTATGGTGTTTTCCAGCTGAGCTGAATTTGGAGGTCATTCTAGTTTGAATTTCAATCTTTTACTGTTGTATTACTGTGTTGATTGAATATAACATTTTAGGAAGTTCAATTTGCTTGATGTTTGAAATGATCATTTGTATTACATAAAAGATGGTTTTGACTTTTTTCTGAACCAGTCTTTCAATTAGCTTTTCCTTCTTGTGAACCAGTCTTTCTAATTCACTTTGTAGCTCTGTTATAGTGCAAAATATATTAGCTCTCGTAATCAATCAAAAATATATAGTGAAAATTCACCAATATGTGTTGGATTTTAAATGGGAATTATATCTTCTTTTTTTTGTGAGGGATTTTTAATAGGCTTATGAAAGAAAACTATTTTAGTTGTTGTTGAATGTCATTAGCTAAGAATCCAGCTCCATGGACTCATTTTGATAATTTGTTTTGTTCATTTTTAGATCCCACTGTATAGATAATTCATAAAAATTCAAATTAACTGGTCTAATAATTGTATCGCCTGATTTTATTTTCTTGGTGTTTAAAAAACCATTAACAGTTTATTTGCAAGATCATACTTGTCCATTTTCTTGAAGATAAAGATGATAAAATTATATAGCTACCACTATTGCAATTTGATTTGTTTTTCATAGATTTTACATGTTGGGGCATAAAAAAACCAACAAAGCAAATTATCAAAGTGGAGCTTGTGGTGAGCGCTGCCGATGGGACTAGACAGTCCAATCCACTAAAACTAGAGAGGAACTAAATTCTTAATTGATTGAGACTATCTTACTTTGCCAAAATTCTAACACTTAAATAAAAGGTCAAATAAATCATTTCATATGCAAAACTTTCTCTCCTCCGACTAACATGGAAATTTATATAGTCTTTCCGAAATACCACATCTGTGTGCTTGATTCTCATATTATTCATATTTTTTAGATCATGTAATTATATACAGCCTTGTTACTGACCTGACATACTGCTATTATAAAATTTCAGAAAGGCATGAAGAGAGGAGAAGCCAAATTCTTTCTTCTAATTCACCACTTAAATGCTATTTCCAAAACAAAAATAAAAAATAATTGTTTTTTGAAGGTCATTATTCTTGGAGTATAAACACTGCTTTAAAAAAAAATTATTGTTACCGTTTGATCAGCTGCAGGAAGGAGAGAGCGGAGGGAAGAGTACAAACTGTTAATCTTCTTACGACGATCACGTTCGCTTGCATTATGGTTAAGCTTTTTAGCCATTGTTGCATCTCCAAAAACTTCGTTTGAAAGCTTGAATTCACTTGAATTTGCTAAGGGCTGAGACAAAGTAGGAGGAGGAGGAAAGTGAAGAAAAGATTGATCTGAAGTTTCTGCTTCTATGTAGAAGATAGTGTTGTTGTTGTTGTTGTGTTGTTCATGGCTTATGAGGTCCTCCTCTAAGGGCCACCCAAAGGTTGAAAACATAGAAGAGGACAAAGCTAGCATATTGGTGTTTGTTAGTTTGTTTTGGAAGG